AAGCTTAGATTTATATAAATGAGCAGACATACATGGATGTGTGTATAGATACATATGAACGCATACACACATTATATATATACACACCCACACACATCCCTTTCTTCATGCTTTCTATATAAGGAAATAATACACATATCCTTTATATTTTCATGTAATGTCAGTGGCTGCAACTGTAAACACAGGATATTCCTTAGAAAACAAACAAACAATGAACCAAAACTTATTTTATTTTAGAGAAGTTTATTTTTAAGACTAATGATTTTCTTGTAGAATTCTTTTTTTCTGCCTAGGTACTTTTTTCCCTCCTTGAATGGCATATTTGCAAGTACAATTTCATCTGCACAGAGGAACAATAGCTTTCAGTTGCACAAAGGATTTCTCCCACCCTGAATCCAAACCACAATGCCTCTTGCTCTGATAATAGCTTCTGAAAAGATTTTGTAATGCACAGAATTAATACATGATTATTTCCGCCTCACTTCTCTCATTTATTAGATTCTATAGTGAATTCCAAATTAAAAATAGCACCTCTTGAGTTTCTTAACGTTCTAATATTTTGAAACAAATAATATTCTGAAGTTCCTTTTTTTTGCCCATATTTACTAAGAAATCTTCAATTTTTTTATTATTGTTCAAAAACAAAACTATGTAATATAAATGTAAAAATCGAAGCATGCAAAAATTGCAAAAAATTATAATGCTGAGTTGTTTAAAAATTAATTGTAGTGATTTTCTCATTGCTAACTGGAAGAATGGTCATGTGCAGTAACTGGCAAATTGGCGTTTAAATCTTTTAAAATTTATGAAGCAAAACAAAACTTCAACTTCAGTTAGAGTTTTGCAGGGACCAGAATCATGCCTAAAGTAAATAAAGAAGTGTCATTTTGCTGGGGCGTGGCGTTTAAATCTTTTAAAATTTATGAAGCAAAACAAAACTTCAACTTCAGTTAGAGTTTTGCAGGGACCAGAATCATGCCCTGTGTCCTAAAGTAAATAAAGAAGTGTAATTTTGCTGGGGCATCTGTATGGTGAGCTTCCACATCACTGCATGGGGAGCTCCTCTCTGCTCTTACAAAGACTTTCTCCAACACTTCCAGCATAGGTGTGAGAACTTATTTACATGAAAGCGTACATTAAATATTTACTGACATTTGCCTGGGATTCGTTTGAAATGTCGGCTGTTCTGCTGCATCATGGGATGACACCGCGGAACGGGACGCTGCTCTTTGATTAGAACAGTGATTTGTGACTCCAGTGTTATGGCTGCTCTAGTTAATGACTCACTTTTGGGTGTATATAAAATGTGTTCTATCGAGGGACCGGGAAAGCCTACATGAGATCAGACCCTAAGAATTTTCTTTCCTCTTAAAAAACCCACATACCCTCACAGAAACAGGGTACTTCAAGTAAACACTGTGTGTGTTAGGTGTGCTGTTGTTCTTTGCTTTCTAACATTTAAGTTAGGTCGGGCTGTTTCAAAGCAAGGCTGGATGAACACCTCCAAAGCCTCTCCATTCAGATTCTCTTTCTAAGCCATTCATTTAGGAATTAGTTGTTTTTCCTTCATTGGGACTTCATTGATACTCCACAGTTTTCGAAGGAGAAAATCATTCAGAGGAATGTCAATATAGTCTGTTATGTGAAGTTTAAAAAATGCATATTTACATGTAGCTGAGTTTAATATTTAATTGCGTGTAATTTATGTGGTCTATGTATTTGTTAAGCCTTGGGTGGGGAGATAATTTGTTTTTCTTGTTATGCAATAGCTATTGTTCCCCTTCCACCCCAGGCACACGCACCATGGCACACGCACCACGGCAGCCCCAGCCAGCACAGGGAGAGGTGTTCTGCTTTAAAAGACATCCGACTGTAAATGTCAAATTCATAAATATTTAAACACTTTTCTTTCAATTTCAAGTCAAGGCTGACAGGACGCCTCTAATTAACCCTGGGCTCCGTTTCAGGCTGGGGCCTTATTGCAGGGAAGAATCAGGGGGTTAGGCGAGGTGGGGAAATCTGTGCTCTTGGTTAGAGGCAGCGGGGGCGGCTGGGGGGAGAGGTGGGAGGAGGGAGTGAGATGGTAACTAACACGTCGGATTAATTTTTACCCGTTTCATAATGTGATGTTTGGTCAGGCATCGAGTAGGATGAAAGTGTAGCGGGTTCCTCCAGCTGCCTTGGGGGCAGTGGGGGCTGTGTCCTGATGGGACGTACTCGGGGGACCGGGCCGGGCTACCTTCTGCGGGTCCGGGTGTCCCCAGCCCGGGGTCCAGGGACGCCACCGATGCGCGGCCCGGAGTTGGAGCCGGAGCCGGGCGATGGGACTTTGCCGCCGGCCGCACCCGGCGGTTCCTGCGGGACGGCGCAGGGCGCATCAGCCGCTGGTCCCTCCCGGGGGCGGCGTGGGGGCTGGCCGAGGTGGCCCGAAGCACCAGCCCCCCGCAGGCAGGGAGGGGAGAGCGGAGTCTTCCGGGCCCCGACGGCAGCGGCTCTGGAGCTGCTCCCCGTGAGGCGGGAACGGGGAAAGGAATGGGAGAAGGGTCGGCGGCTCCGCGGCAGAGCCTCTCTCCCTTCCCCTTCGGCGGATCCGACGTGGCGGGCGCCGCCGGGCAGCGGGGAGCGGCCGTGCCCCTTGGCCCTTGGCCCTGCCCTCCGCCGCGGGGCCTCCATCTCCTCCCAGGGCACGGGGGTCGGGGCAGGCGTGGGCGCCGCTCCCCCTGGACGTGCAGGAGCTTTGCAAACCCTCGCTTGCTAGAAGCCTGTCACAAGGGACAGGGCTACACAGACTCCCCCAGGGCAGACGCCTGCCGAGTGTAAGCAACGCCGAACGCCCCACGGAAGGTTTCTAACTCTTCCCCGTGCTTTAGGCTCCCGGGTGCAGCTGTACGCTGAGAGTACGTAGGGGGGGCTCTTCGAGCAATTCTTTTGTCAAGGGCAGCCAGCTCCGGGGACGGCAGCCCCGGCTTTGCGAGGAAAATTGCCTGGCGAAGTTGGAAGCAACATCTAAAATAGCTCTAACTCCAGTGGGAGAAAGAGCCTGCCGCCCTTTCTCTTCTGCATGTTTACTCGGAGCTTTTGACAGCACTTTGTCAGCATCATTGTCATCGTTTCTCTCGCACAGCCCTTTCCCCGTGTGCTTGGTGCGGCTCTGTCATACGGCATCCGGAGGAAAAAAAAAATAGTTTAAAACCGTGGTAGAGATAGCAGAGAAGTAAGGCTCAGGAGCAGTGCCCGAAACTGCCCGCCAGCGTGTTTCCTCCCGTCGGTGCCCCTGAGCCCACCCGGGGGCCGAGGCGGCCCGAGCCGCCCGATGAGCGGGGCCGGCCCGCGGGGGAGTCCGGGAGTGCGGGGCTTGTCCCTGCCCGGCTGATGGGGGCCAAACACCGCGGCGACAAGGATTAACGTCCCGGGGCGCAGCGCTCGGCGAGGGGGCGCCGGTACTTCGGCGGGAGCCGCCTATTGAGATGCAGATTGCGACCCTTGGCCCCGGGGGGACGGGGCCTTTCAGGGAGATGCTAACGGCAGAGCGCAGCAGCCCTTTACCCCCTCCGGGGCCGAGGCGGCGGGAGCAGCGAGACGGCGGCGGCTGCCGTCGGTGCTGCCCCTCCCGGTGCCCCCCGCCCGGTGCGGGCCGAGGGCGCGCTCCCCCCGGGGCAGCCGGGGCAGGTGCCCGGCTGGGGCCGCGGGGGCGGTGGCGAGGAGGCGGCCCCGGATCCCCCCGCGGCCGGGGCTGGGTGGGGGTGCAGCCCCCTCCTCCTGGTGGCTGTTGGGATTTGGAGGAGGGGCCGGCTGCCGTGCAGGGGAGGGGAGGCGGCGGGCGCGGCGGTGGCTGCGCGGACGGCACATGGCCGGTGGCCGCGGCGAGCCCTGTGCCCGCCCCCCGCCGCCCCGCCGGGGCGCACGGACCGGCGATCCTCCTCCGCGCGGCGCATCCAGGCAAGAAAATCCGGGAGTCTGACTGAACCTGCTTTTCCATTAACTCAGCCTCAGCCCCGGCTAATCCGCAGCACTGAAGGCAAGGAGGCTAATTAATGACAAGCTTTTACAGTCAAGACCAGCGATAATTGCTTTGGTGGCCTTTATGATTACAAGATAAAAATGGACCGGGCCTGACATAAGAGCCACTGTGTACACTGCAAGACAGGAGGAAATTAAGAGCTGGCTAGCTGAATACGGAGCAGAAAATTACTAATAGAGGAGAGATAATGAATAGGCCGGCTAGGCATTCATGGGGAAAAATCCATTTTGTTACCACGCGAAATTAGGTGGTGGAAAGGAGTTTGCTAATTGTTCTCGTCTTGTAGCAACCAGGACTGAGGCAGGGGCGTGCTTTTCAATTCATTTCCCTGGTAATTGTGAAAGGGGGAATGCAGGCCAAATGAGTCTTGCTGCAATTTGCGCGCCTGGTCTTTTCATTTTCATGTTGCGTTTTTAATTGTTGCTAATATAGGTTATAATGAAGCTAATGAGGGGAAATTATTGTACAACTTTTTAGCACATGGAGACAAGTGAAATGCACTAGAAGGATTCTCTCCTATTGCTGCAAAAATAATAGTAATCTGGAGGAGTTTGGAACTATCGGGGGTTTTTATAAGCCGCTTCCCTCTACAACAGACAAAAGGAAGGATCGCCACCTACTTTTTTTTTTTTTTTTCCTGTGTTTTATTTTTCCCTAAGAAAAAAAAAAAAAACCAATACCGGAATTTCCCTTGCTGCGCCCCTCGCAGCCCCTGATCCTCGATGCCGTGCGAGCGGGGCGCTCCGCGGTGCTTGCGCGCATCCCGCGGGTCCGCCTCCGCCTCTCGGTAGTTAAGTGCGAGCCGCCGGAGGGGACGGCACGGAGCGGGGCACGGCAGCGGTCCTGTCCCTGCCCCTCTGTTTGCCTCCCTCCCCGGCCGAAAGTTAGGGCTGCCGGGTGTTCCCCCCGACGGGATCCCCCCTCCGCGCCGCTCCGTGACCGCGCAACTCAGGCGCTGCCTCTCTCTCCTTCCCTGCAGAAAAGCAACGTCCCGCCGCTCGCGCAGCGCGGGGAAGAGGCGCAGTCCGCGAAATTCCTCCTCCTCACCCTCCTCTCCCTCGCCTGCATCGCCGGGGTCCTGGCGGCGTCGGGGGTCGCCTACTGCCTCCGCCACCGCGCCCACCACCGCCTGAAGGAGAAGCTCTCGGCCCTGGGGGCTGACGCCGGCTCCGATGCGCCCGCTGCTTACCAGGTAAGGACCAAGCTCTCCTCCTCCGGCCCTGCCTCGCTGCCCGGCAGACCCCCGGGGGGGCCCTTCTCGCGTTGGGAGTCGCGGGGGTGGGTTTGTTTCCGACGCTTCCCCCCGCCCCCGTTCCATTCATAGTACCGCGGATTCGGTGTAGCAGCTTTTTACTACTGGGTATTAATCTTGGCTATTCTGGTAGCTGCTGTAAATTCGTGCCTAATTAGAAACATTAAAAAAAAAATCCCAGCCCTTGCCACTTGCCGTTGAAATTCTCAGAAAAATAACATTAATATCCATAATCTGTCACCCCTGCCACTATTAATAACGAAAAATCTTTAACATTTATGAGGAATGGATTGCACGGTTATCTGAAGATGTCTCTCTTTTTGAGTAATCGACTTCTTCAGGGTCTGATATGAAAAGAGCCTTTGACCCGATCTGTTGCCACCTTCTGCCATTATTCAGATAAAATGAAATCTAATGCTGATAGATGGGAGGTAAACCAGGAGTGGTTCTATGAGAACAATGATAGCAGATGTGTACCCAGTAATGCTGAAGGACTGCACTCAGCTTCTCAGAAATAAATCAGAAACCTCGAGCTTTCTCTTTCAGTTTCAAAAGTGTTGGGTGGAGAGACACTGCGTCTTCCTGAAGTTTGTTTTAGATCATATGGCGCTTATTTCTTGGTGTGTTATTGGTGTGGTAGTGCATGTGTTATGGTAATCTACCAGACAGCCCTGGTCTGCTACCCAAAAATATTTGGAGTGTGACCAGGAAAAAGAATCTGAGAATGTGTAAACATTGTCTCTGTAGTATCTCTGACTATTGTGCACCCATAGGGCCTCGCTGACGGCACTTTTTTGTCAAGTTTTATTTTACTTTCTTGTTCTGCTTAGGATCAGACATTCTGGCCTCTCTGTATCCTGGAGCTGAGCTAGATTTAAATTGGCAGCTGAAAGTATTATGGGAATAAACTCATATTTCCTCACAAAGTTTGAATCTGTCTGTACCTCTTAGATGTTAAAGATGTAATGTATTATTTCCCCAGGCTGGGTCTAGAGAAAATAAAGTACAGAATGATAAATATGAAGCTTTCTGTAACAATTAGTGTCTTCAGGAATGGTTTTGGTTTTCACTTCTAAAGAAATGTTTACTTTTTAAAAAAAATCCTTAGATCACATCTTTGCATTTAATGACTTCCAAAGCAAGACAGAGTGAGAGCAAGAGCGTTTCCTGTAGACAAAAAAAAAAAAAAAAGGAGTGTACTCTGGGATAAAGTGTGAACAAAACAGCAGTTTATCAGTTTTGTTGGCCAGTGAGACTGTGCCCTTAAATATGTTTGTTTGATTTTAATAGGTGACTTGCTGTTGGCTTATTTAAAACACAGAAGCAATAGGTAGGCTTTTTCTTCCATTAATTGTGAATACAGGAATTCTTAATTTTTTGAAAAGCCCTCCAGGTTCCAAAACCACACTTGAAACTGAATTTCTGATAATTAACAGGACAATCTTTCTACTGACAGCTCTAATTAATAGTATCTGTAATTAAAATCGTGCCCTTCCAGCAGGAAAATTGTTTGAATTTCTTGGAGTGACCTTTTTTGCCATTTCTCCTGGGAGTGTAGTGGTTGATATTGATTTTATAATGAGCTCGGTTTGTTTAATAAGAATCTGTAATCCAGACATTAAATGAAATGTGTGCTTCCTTTTTTTCTTCACAGATTTATATATATTTTAAAATCTTCATATTTAAATCTCAGAGTGACATTTTCTGTTTTGAAAACAACAGCAATGCTTCGAGGTTGCTGCTCAGTTTTTCAATAGCAAGATTGTATTAATATTCTTTGTTCCTGACCTCTGGGCCCAGTCCTAACCACCTGACTTCTTAAACAGTTCCATTGGGTTTTCAGGAGAACTGTACTCATGAGTGGGAGGAAAAATGTTTTTCCTTAAAAACAAAGGTTTCTAAGAGCTTGGCTCTCCACCCATGGAAGTAAATGGGAATTCTGCCATTTGTTTCAATGGCAGCAGTAGGAAGCCCTAGCATGGGCAGACAAAATGCTCAGGCAGTTTTGATGCTGCTAAGTAGCATTTTATCAAAATGAATCGCTGTGCCTGGGTCTGTATGTAATAAACTGTTCACAAGGATTTGAAGAGAAATAGGATTGAGCCCTATTCACGTTGTCAGAATCACCTTACGTTGAGCTGTGTTAAGTGTAATGGATATCTGGTGTGAGGCATGTTTTGGATAACATCAATTAGGTCTCAGAAGGGCATCTGCTATCTTTTTCCTCATCTTCTCTTGATAGTTGTAGGGGAATAATGTAATCTGTATTAATATGGGGGTAGGAAACAGGTAGGCAGCTTTCAAAACTGTACTACTTGGTTCTCCTCTGTTATATGTTTCCCAAGTAGCCACTCAGTTAACTCGATGTTTTTTAAAAATATGAAATATATCAGGGCTGCTGCCACTAGGCTTTGAAGCACGGTACTCCAATGTGTTGCTGCTTACAGCTGACATGACAATTCAGATTTTTTTTTTTTTATTTGAAGGGGGAGAAATTGGTTGGTATAAAAGGGCCTGGCAGTCCAATGTGATTCAGAGGGAACACAGAAATATCACTTTGATTCACATGCTTCTCAAAATGCCAGTTGTTTATACCTTCACATAAACAAGACTGACCTAAATTTTCAGCATTTAGTAGAAGCATTTTTCATCCTAACCCAGTTTAGCCAGGGGAGTTCATTCAGGGTTTTACTCCTTCCTTACTTATCCTGTGAACTTGGAAGAGTTTTTTCCCATGGCTGTTTATTGGCAGGGCTTGGGGGAGTTTTTTCTTCCCTTTCTGGTTTGTGCAGTGAAATGCCCTCTTGAGAAGGGGAAAACAGACAAACCATATTATCAGGGAAATAGCAGGTTGGCTGCTGAGTCTCTCCCCATACTGGAGGCGTAGCACTTGTCAAGTAACATCACCCTCCCTCAGGCACGAGCACTCCTTACACTTAGCTACTAACACAAGTATTTCTTGTGTAACTGTGTGAAGAAGGCAGGACAACCAGTACTGGATGAGAGTTGAAGCAGGCAAATTAAATTGCTGCAGTGCTCCTGATAAGCTGCCAAACCTGGTTATTCAGGTGTTGGGGTAAGGCAAGCAGCTGGCCCTGAAAGTATTGAAGTAGAGAAACCCTATTGAAAGACTAACAGGAGGAAGGATAGATACACAATTGAAACTTCATTTATCTTTGAATCACTAAACAACAAAATCACAGGCTGGTTTAATTAGACAGTAGCTCAGGAGCTTTTCAAAATTAATGGAAATTGTGTGTCTTGTAAAATGTTACATTTTATCCATAAAGGCGGACAGTTTTTGTGTCTCTCCCAAACACATCTCCTGTCCTTTCAAAGCACACGTGTAATGATTAGATAAGTCAGCGTTAGCATTCAGGGATGACTAAAAAGAGGCTCTTGGTGCCTCCGCGGAGCCCCACGCATGCGCGCACCTGCACCCCTGCTTTTAATTGTTGCTGCCATTGCTTTGATCTTCTTTGAAAAGCAAGTTTAGCATTCTGCAAGCCCACTCTCTGGTCCAGGAGATTAGGGCAGAAACGTTTTAGGAATTTTCAGCAGACACTCTTTGATTTATTTCACAACACTGAGCAGATTCTCTTCATGCACTTTGAAGACTTTAGAACATAACCCAGAGAAAAACGGGCATTCAGGCATCAGGAGCAGGCAGCAAACAGGGCCACTAAGTGCACATCTTACTTGTCACCTCTCCCATTAGCGAGCAATTTATTAATGTAATGAGTGTGTGTAGTGACTGCTACGATTTAAGGATGCTCTGTTTGGTTCAGGGTGATGTATTTGTGAGTCCAGCTGAACCCTGGCTTTTGACCCCTGTGTGGGGAGCACTGGGATGTGCATGTTAAATCATCAGCATATTTTATACTTTGCACTGCAGAACTTTCCTATGAGCATGGTCTTCTGCATCACTGATAATGCTCAGCAAAACCCTGCCCATAATGGAATTAAAAGGCAAAAGTTAAAATGCTCTGAAGCTGGCTTCAGCAAGCTTGCCTTTTAATATTTTATGTCAGTAACATTCTTTTTAATTTTCCTTCATCTCAGCCAAAAGAACTTCCTTTGAAAAGTGAGGAGGAAGAGACCAAACAGTTTACAATGAAGTTCTTTCTTAAACTGCCTGAAGTACTCAAGGTTACATGCAGATGGATTACATCATCAACTGTTTTAAAAACTTGTCCAATTAACTTGATTTGGCAGGCATATAATTGTAAATTATATGTTAAATTCTACATTATTACATGTATTGTATTATGTATAAATTATATATTCCTTTGTCAAATACAGTCTTATTAATTACATTATCCTGCTGGATTCAAAACCCCTAAGAACTTCGTGCTCTTACCGATTTGATCCTGCTGGTGTTTTTTATTAGAGATGTTAAGAACACACTATTTGCAACAATTACAATAAATATTTTGCTGCAAATATTTTAAAAGGCTCAAACTGAAAGAATCTGCTGGAAACAAACCCTCTACTTAACTATAATGCATGGTTTGTGGGTTTAAATACAGATAACTCATTACCTCTAATATGGCTTAATATTTCATACTCTAGACTGAATTTCAAAAGCAAACTTGTTATTATAATATTAGACCTTAATATTGTAGTAATATTGTGTATCAACTCCTTAGAAACTGGAATTTTGTGGACTAAGTGAAATGGGGGGGAGGTGGAAAGGAAAATTTTGCTGTTCTTATTTATCAGGTTCTCAGTAATATTCCAATTAGCATCACCCTTAGTACCAAGGAAAGCTGATAAACTGGGGATAATTTGTACCATAAAGTATTACCTTCTACCTTTATAAAACTCCATTTTCAAGAACCCTCTTACTCTTAAGCACAAAAGAGATCACTGAGGATGAGGTTACTCAGTACATGAGTATTTAGTAAACATTTCAGAAGGAATACATTTTGTAAGGATTT